ACAAATATCATACCCTGAATTTCGAAATATTCAATTTTGATTGTGTATTTTCCATTAACAAAAACCAGAACCAATGGGGTTGATGTTGGGAATGGAGAAACAAATGATGAATAAGTTTATGGCATAAATGAAAGTATCAGCACCCATATCGACAGTAAAAGCAATCATTGTGGTCTTCTGCAACCACAAATGCGTCGTCTTAACCATTTTTAGTCATGAAACAAGCAAGCATATTATCTCATCAGGAAGAGATGTGTGCCTCAACAAGTGACATTCAAGGGGAAACTTTTACTCTTATTAAACAGCCGAAGGCCATGCACTCAAACTATATTAAAGCTTTAAAACATGATGGGGATTTCAAGGTAGAAAATGTCGACCATACAAAGCGTATCCCAAAACACGCCCGACCCCCGCGGGTAGAGCAGCATTTATCCGATATGAAGCGCCATTGTTCCCACCACGCAGGTTTTCATTACATTTCCCTTGGAATTTTCCTTGCGGTGACATCGCGCTTGACGAAACCTGAACGGCAGAGGAGGGATAATTGGGATGAGGAGAGCTAGGTAGATGTGTAATAGTAATAATGTGGACGTTAGTATGGATTATGAAGGATGAGATAGAATGATGAGGCCATGGGGGAACTAAATGAATGGGGAGAATAATGAGGATGTAATATATGAATGATGTGGATGTTGGTAGTCACGATAGAGGATGAGATGGAATCATGGGGGTAGGGATGTATGATGTCCGATTTGGGAGGAATAATAATAGGTAATAATAGTAGTAAGATAATAATAATAATAATGAGTAAAAATGATCAGTGAAAATTAAGTGTTTACTTCAAGCATATAATCAATGCGCACTTTAGGAGCTTTTCTTCCAGAAGTAGAAATTAAATTTCTGTTTCTAAATTTTCAGATATCAAAAATATATACCTGGTAGTTTCTACATGTTGTTACGGGTCCAGTTTGCACTTGGTGAAAATATCACAAGGTGTGTTTGAAGTCTCAATTTCAGACTACAGAGATCTCTCTACATGCGAGAAAAAAAACTCATTACCAACGCAAGTTGCACAAATAATTCATGCCAAAAACACGCCATAAAACCGAACAACAATTATTCAAACCCTTATCATTACAGATTAAACTTCACTCCTATAAATTTAAGATCTTGTAAAAAATACATCGATATTGGTCCTACTTTAAAATGTCAAATCTCGACTGAAAACGCACCTGTTCATAATGGTGGCCAGAACGATCTAAAGTTGCTGCCACGCAATGGCTACCATTCCGCACTTCAGTTTAGATTAAATACAATTATGCGACTTTAAGGGAAATGTCGTCTCAAAAATTGAGACTAGTAAAAAGAACATTTCTCAAAAATCGTTTTAGAATTTGAAAATTGAGTAGCGGGTAAAGGGAAGCTGCATCGCAGACCGGAGCCAAAAATTTCTTGCCCCGCACGTAGAGCCGCCGGGCATCATCTGTATTGCTTGCACTGTCGTAATGATCTTTTGCTGTGCTACTCGTGGTGCAACTAGCAGATGGTTACGGTGCAACTAGCAGGCATACAAGAGATGGCTGTGTAAAGGCATGCCAACAGATGGCTGAGTAAAGGCATGCAAGAGATGGCTGTGTAAAAGCATGCCAACAGATGGCTGAGTAAAGGCATGCAAGAGATGGCTGTGTAAAAGCATGCCAACAGATGGCTGAGTAAAGGCATGTCAACAGATGGCTGAGTAAAGGCATACCAACAGATGGCTGAGTAAAGGCATACCAACAGATGGCTGAGTAAAGGCATGCCAACAGATGGCTGAGTAAAGGCATGCCAACAGATGGCTGAGTAAAGCCATGCCAACAGATGGCTGAGTAAAGGCATACCAACAGATGGCCGAGTAAAGGCATGCCAACAGATGGCTGAGAAAAGCCATGCCAACAGATGGCTGAGGATAACGCCCCAGCTGACAAGTGTGCATTATTTTATAACGCAGCGCAGGCGCTGAGATTATAAGGCTATAATATTCCCGCGCTCGCCTCATAAACTGGAGGCAAGCTTGAGCAAATTGTGGCCCTATACCTGATGAGAATATCTGCGAGGAAACAGAAGAGAACTTAGGAGGAAAACAAAGAGAATTAGAAAAACGAAGTAAAACAGAGGTTATTTTGCAGGCGTCACACAGCTGCCTCTAGAGACGGTGTTGCCAGACAGCGGTCATCAAGTAATTAGGAGCCTAAAGTGAACAAGTTGGTGGCATTTTCTCCTGCCAGATTTGTAATCGCATTCAAAGGACCTGACGGTTTTGTCCCTCGTAGTTAGTTTATTTTTATTATTTTTTTAGCCGGCAGTTTTTGGAATGAAGTTAGATTGAATGACAACGAATTTTGTGGCTGAAGTAATAGCTACAGAAAAGTAAGAAAGATATGGGCTTTTGAAGACAGTTTAATGTTTGTTTTGGACGGGGAATTGTGACTGTTTTTTATGTTTAAGCGAAGCTTTTGAGTGAAGAATTGTGGAATAATTTGTGCTTATTAATTAAAGCAATTAATCATTTCATTGAACAAATTACTTGAGAAATAATTTTCAGTTTAATCTTATTAAATAATTGTATTATAAGTAGTACACGAACAGTTACATTGAACCCATACTAGCACTAAAAAATTACTCGCACTCTCTGACTGAAAATCATGATTGTGTAATATGAAAATTGAATTTCATAGCATTATTTTAGAATGAAGCTATTTATGAAGTTTCCCTTTAGATCACTATATACATATTTAACAAAAATTTTATTTTTAACGTAGTTTCGAGATTAGTGCTACATTATCGCAATTTTTTCTAATCTCTCAAATCGATGTTTCAATATAAGTAAGCAATTATTGCATGCCACAATGCCCTCAATAATACATGCATTCCGTTTTTGATAGCCCACAATATTTTCAACACCCTCATTTTCCAACAAACTCACAACTTACAGAAACACCCAATGCTCACACAACCTGCCTACGCTACAATCAATGATATCCGAGCTTCCTAACTTGCATACTTCTCAATTACTCAATCGCTTCAAACTAAACGGTCTGCTACGAGTATAAACAATCTCATGCAATATAAATATTACAATAGTTTACAGCGATTCCTGCAACTTACAATAAAACTCGCTATTTCGACGATTGCTGTTTCAAATAAGGCTTGAAACTTTGATTTAATCCATAACTACAAACAATTTTTTCTGCGATAAGTCTCAACTTCAGCATCGATTTTTACCCCCAATGTCTCCAACTGCTTCTTTGATAGTCTCCTTCCATGCCAGATTGCAATATACTGTATATGTTGAGGAGCCTCCACTAAATTCTAGACACTAAATAACGGTAACTTTTCTACAGCGTTTCCCCAAATAAGAATGCGATGAAATGAAGCAAATTATATAAGAACACGTTTAAAATAACGGCTGCTTCGAGGCACATAAATATAAATGCATTAGTATATGTGTGCCTAAGTTTATATATCTTTTACTAGAGCCTAATAAAATATCTTCTCAATTAATGAGAACCTTGTTTTCTCAATAGTCTTACCTTTTTCTGTAAAGTCATCATTTTTTATTAATATCCTCCTCGTCTAATATATTCTACCGTCTTCTAATTCATTATCACGCGTAGTTTCGAAACGACTTCCAATTCCACCAACGCGCGTGCCTTCAATATAAAGCCAACTGCTCTTCTTCACATCTGTTCACATGGAGGGGGAGTTTATTTATGCAACATCTTCTCTCTGAAGCTCCTTGCTGCAGGAAGAATTTTTGCTACAACTTAAATTTTTTGCACCAACTTGAGTTTCTTCCCGGCAACATGCGTCTGTTGTCTGCAAACTAAACTCGCAGTAAACTTTGATAAAGTTGGCAAATCTTGCTAATCGTCTTGCGTGCGACACGTGAACTGTACTAGACAGACTGCGTCCAACTTGATGGAAGATTTCAGCTGTAATTAACGACAGCGATGGCACTAAATGTAACATCAAGAGTGGATGGAACTGTACGTGAGCAACTGTCGTGACTGTCTGTAGTACAGCTCCAAGCCTTATTTCTCTGACTTTGCGTATAGTGGAATAATGTGGATACTGAAAAATAGTTGAAACATTCTCTTTTACAATATTTAAACTATATTTACAATAATTAAACATAATAATTTACCGAATATTTCAGTAAGAACGTAGAACCAATTGGGAAACCAAGTGTCCGTGCTTAGAAAAGTGAACCCTAAATTGTTATTGTAGCTTTTTAAATGATATTTTGAATTCCACATGTTAAATTTGGTAACTGTAACTTTTAAAAAAAGAAAATGGGAAAATTCTGTTAGCTGCGACGTTAATGAATGTGACCAAAAACCTATGTGATGAATGAAAATCACTTTACATCAAAACCCGTCCTAAATTATCAGTTAAATTAGATAACTCCAGTTCTTGCAATTTCAACTGAAGAAACTAAAACTGTAACAGCATGAAATTTTTTTAATGCTACAAATGTAACTTTAACATTTGCATCTGAAAATTCAGTAAATATAAAGGATACGTAAACTGTGTGAGCTTCTTTGGAACTTATTATGTGTTTCTGCCGCAAAATGAACAATTATTCTCGTAGACGTTGAAAACTGGTGAGCAGCAACAACGATTTGAATTTTCCAGTACAATACGCAGATCCTAATTTAACAGCTATAACTGTGTAGCTTTTCACTTCAACGGCATCAGCTTTAAAACAGCTGAGAATATACAGTTATAATTCCTAACTAATCATGCAATACGAGGCTACCAACAACACTATAACGAAATAATGCAGACGATTGTGACAATCATTGAACATTACACGAATGAAAGGTAATAATAATAATAATAAATAACAATAATAATAATAATAATTGATAACAATTAAAATAAAAATAATCTTAATAATAGTAAAAATAATGACAATAATGATAATAATAATGGTTATACATGAACAAGTAACGTACCCTGTAGTCGCCGAGGCCGTCTACGGAGCAGGACAGGACGGCCTCCCGTCCGGCCGTGACCGTCACGTTACGGATCTGCTCCCCGAACTCCGGCTCCGTCTTGGCGCCGCCCGTCCACCCCGCCACGGCGCCCTCGCCGACCACAAATCCTGCGCGCCATAATAAATAAATTAAAAATAAATAAATAAATAAATAAAACATAATAAATTTAAAGAGAGACAATGATGGAATCTTAAAGTGAACTGTAAGCATTTTAAATATTTAAAATATTTTTATACGATTAGTTATGGCCTCAAAATATTCAAAACAGACAACGGGAACTTCAACTAACTGAAGACATGCAGCTATTATAGTGACGAAATATTTCACCTCAACTGAAATATTTCGTTGTATGGAGCAGTATTTAAATATATTTTGATATGCCAAGCCTCTATTCATTATAAAGATATCCAAAAAGAGAAGGTAAAATTACCTATGCTTTGCAACACCTATATTGTTCGATGATTTTATTGAACTTTTGTCAACCGCATAGACTGAACAAAATTTTAACGCTCGCAGCCTCGATTGGACCAGGGAAAAAGGCGTATACCTATCACGAAGAATCATGACATTTCCATCAGAGAACGAGAAGCGTTTCTGACGTGAAGAATTAATGCTATGATGTCAAGGACGCTTCTGACGCGGAGAAATTTTTAGGTAATCATTATAAATCATGAATCAAATTCCATGCAGTTCTATTTACCTAAACCTTATTAAATCAGTCGCACGTTGGCCTCCTAGTTATAATCCGTAATTTATTTTTTTGTTTTATCACAGCATTGCGCAATAATAATGTGATGGAACTGAAATACACAGAAGGTAAATGTATTCGGCACTTATATGAATACGAATCTCTCTTTTTTTTCAATGACGTTGAAGGCTGCCTGATTATTTTGCATTAGCGAGTCACCAGTTGGCTGATGACTGCAATCAGCACATCTCATCAGCGACCACGTAGCATTTAAGTGCCCAGATAAAGCGCAGTGCAGCAGTGAACGCTGAGCAGCCTGTTTCTAGTGAACAGGATGGAAAATGTCCTCGGATTCAAATGCAAATAATAAACATGTAAGATTTGAGGGCGGGGACAGCTACAAAAATGCATTGCTATTCACAGAGCTAAATTAAATACAAGAATCGATCTGAATTAAATGAAAAATTCTAATGTAGACGAGACTAAATATAAATTTGTTGGAAGCAAAATTGAACTGTAAGAAGCGAAAAGTAAGTGATGGTAGAAAAATATTGAACATAGGAATTGAATAATTTTAATTTGAATTGCACAATAAATATGTAATTTTGATCATATACGTTGAAGAATATCTTTCTAAACCTAGGAATCTTCTTCAAATAATGTGCTAACTGTAAAAATTTATGTCCATCGTAAAAACATAGGAATAATAGTTATTTATTGGGTTAACCAGGCATTCTCTTTATAATTACAATTCATAACATGATATCCATTTTAATATTACCCACGCTGGAAATTCAAATCGACTTCATCGGTAGCGCATTAAACTTCACCGAAACTGCGAATTCCTGACGAATGTCACGAGCGCGTTTATCAGCAGCGCCTGTCAGCGCGCAGCGATCGGAAGTAACGCGGCTGATGTTCTGGCTGACACTCGAGCTGACATCCCGAGCTGACATCAGCAGCTGACAGACATCCCGAGCTGACATCAGCAGCTGATACACGAGCAGACATCAGGACTCGGAACACGTATGCGTGTCAGTGTGCTGCTGGTACACGATTGATGCGCGATAACGAGTCATGTTGGAATACAGTTTGTTAAACGTTGTTCATACGGGCTGGGTTGACATCATGAGACGTATAATAACATTTGGTGTTCAAATTATTTTAGGGTAGGATGTTAATTTTCCTAATCAATTATTTAATGGATGAAATGCTTCTGCGCCAAATTTAAAATGAGGATATGTTTTATGTACATTAATAAATTTCGTGTTCTATCCCCTGACACAGAAATGGTCGAATTATTTCCACCAAACTTTGTTGATTAGGTTCAAATTATGCCAATTAAATAGTTAATATTGATCACGTTTCATTACAGGATTTGCTCTCTAGCTAAACTTTTAATAGATAAGAATTCCATTCGAAAATTCGGAAATGCAAAAATTATAATGGTATAATATTTGCATTCAACTAATAATCTTCTTTTTTACTATCTCTGTTGACCTAAGCAAAACGGAGGCCTTAATATTTTACTTAATTTCACAGATATAATTAATAGTTTTGATAAATCTTAGGTGTCGAGAAAATTAACACAGAAAACGAGTTCACAAGAACAACAGCATCGCCTGCAGCTGTGGCCAGCCAAATTGTTTCTTTATAAAATGGAAGTGGGAAGTTGGCTGCGTTATTTATGGTGTAATTAGCGCTGGCTTGATATTACTCGCTTTCTTTGGGACATGGGGCGGAGTGTGATTGTCTCTAATTGGGTGCTTGGGGGCATAACGTCGCTCACTGCTGCGGTTAAACTACTCATTGAAATTTTTTGATAGATAAATTAGATTAGGTTACTCATTTCTAATAAATATTTGTGATTTAATTATTTTTACTAGGAAAAAATGCTAAAATATTGACAATTGTTCTCGAATTTAAGAACTACTTTTCAATTCGCTCTTGAGAGCCAAGAGATCAATTTATTAGCAATTTTATCGTGGGTATTGTGAGAGATTTTCTAGAATATCAAGTAATTTAACTTCAAAATTAAATTTCTTGCCAAGGACATAAAGAAGCACAATTTCTCAATTCTTCATTTTTTGGTTAGCCAGTAACGACCACTCTCGATGGAAAACCAGTTGAAAAGTTTATTTAGAGTACCTTTTGTACTGTTCTTTATTTTCTCTACCTAATATTCTGCAGCCTATACCGCACCCCATTTCCCGTACCGTATTTACTGCACCCTGTGTTGTGCACCCTATATACTCCACCCTATATATTGTACCCTATATATTGCACCCTATATACCCTACCCTATTTGCTGCACTTTATATTTTTATGTACCCTATATATTGCACCCTATTTGCTGTACCTAGGTACTGCACTCTATTTTTTATCTCTGCACCATTTATTGCACCCTATTCACTGTACCCCATTTATTGTACCCTATTTACAGCACCCCATTTACTGTACCACATTTACTGTTCCCATATGTTGCACCCTATTTACTAAATCCTATTTACTGTACCCTATTCACAATACCCCATTAACTGTAATACGTTTACTGTACTCAATTTACTGTACCCCATTTACTGCACTCATTTACTATACCCCATTTACCAGACCCCATTTACCATACCCCATTTACCATACCCCATTTAACATACCCCATTTACCATACCCATTTGTCATACCCCGTTTACCATACCCCATTTACCATACCCCACTTACCATACCCCATTTACTGTACCTCATTTGCTGCACCTATTTACTGGACCCCATTTTCTTTACCTCATTTACTATACAACTTACTGTACCCCATTTATACTGTCTCTCATTAACTGTATCCCATTTACTGTACCCCATTTACTGTACCCCTTTTACTGTACCCCATTTACTGTACCCATTTACTGTACCCCATTTACTGTACCACATTTACTGTGCCCTATTTACTGTACCCTATTTATTGTATCCCATTTGTTGTACCCCATTTACTGTACCCCATTTACTGTACCAAATATGTTGTACCCCAATTACTATACCCCATTTACTGTACCCCATTTACTGCAACCGATTTTAACCAGAAAAGTCATTAACTGAATTAAAACTATCAACGAGATTCAGTAATTTCTGGTAAATAATTTCCCATTTCCAATGTGAAAATTTCCGCAAATATCTAAGATTCCCTCGCTGTATTTCAAAATAATGTGGGTATAAACCACATCATTAATGATTTGGAGCTGCAAATTTTTAGTAAAAATTTATTTTACCGGAAAAGTATAGAATTAAGATGAAGCTTCATTCTCATTTTTTTATAAAGAAAGACTATACGGCTCGTTCATAGACCCTGCAAATCCAGGTAGCGATTATTGTTTTTTCATAAACCAAAATCTTTGGTGAAGAAATCTTGGTCGGCTGCTGAAATAGAGTAAGAAATTGAGAACGGCCTCAACGGGAAATCAAAAATTTAAAACCTTAATCTAAATGAAATATTTTCTCCGGCGTATTTAAAGAGAAAATTCTACTTATCTTATTATCAATCGAAAGAAGGATTTCACGACCTGATGACATTGTTTGATTTTCTCCAGTATTTTCTGTTTGCTTCATCAAATGGATTATTTCACATGCAGGGCTGTGTTCCAGGCAACTATATTAAGCCTATAAGAAGCTACACATAATATACACTCATCCACTTGTCACTTATATTAAAAAAGCCGTCTCTTTTTGTATTAATTTGAAAAATCTTTTAATCCCTGAATGGATGTACCTAAACAAATATTGTTTCGAAAGTAATTGAAATTCCTTATTACAATTCATCAAAAATAATTGTTAAAAACTTTAATCGTCCTTTGATATTTCTTAAATCATCAACAAGAAAATGGCGAAAATAATTCCAAGAGTTAAATTCTTCCATAAAACCTTTCGTCCCAGAAAATGTGCAGATATTCCCCTCTTAACAGAGGGACTCATCTGGGGTGGCAGTTTTTTAAGCGCCCCCAGATTGTGTGCAGCGGAGGGACGGGCTTATTAAGTCTTTTTAACTTGAGCCGCTCTAATGCCGTCCTTATTAAAGTGTCCCACAAAACCCAAGCACTCAGGCAACTTTATCTGACATCAGCGGTGACTCTGCACCCCACGAGGCAGCCTCTGGCGCGCTGAGTTTGAACTTTAGTACGAACGAAAGCTGCGTGGTGAACGTAATTAGCGTGACGTACGTTATGATGAACGTAACTAGCATGAGAGAATAGTGTTTTCATGACGCCACATGAGTTCTGTGAGCGAGCTCTATCACTCTAAAACTTCGATGACGATGAATATTATTTATAATTATAACTTAGGTGTAAGAAAGTAACTGCAAATGAAGTGTCCAATGTTTGACAAGTCAACGAACTTTAAGCCATATGTTTAGGTGCTCAAGTTCAACTATGAAGTGCAGGGTGGGGCAGAACCGATTGAGCAGTTTAGAACAGTCAGTACGCGCAGGGAAGGAAAGGGATGGGCGTGAGGGTTGTTTCTTCCAGCCCCTCCGGTATTGCTATTTCAGTAGGTTAGCCAACATTTGTGGTCAGGAGAACATCGTGGCTTTGCTGTGCGCGCATATTTATACAATAGTGCATTTTTCCATAATTGAGAAAATGCACTAAAAACAATTAATCCGTGATTACAATGCAAAAAGCTTTTCAGCGGTGGTTCAATATTCCACGCAATGATGCTCTTCTTCAGGCAAAGACAATTCGTCCTGGGTTAGGCATGCATTTGGCGGCAACCGGTAGCACACTAAGAGATACACATGGCTGACGCATGTCCATCATAACACCAAAAAATGTCGAGATGGTGAGAGCAGCAGTCATCCACTCGCCAAGACGTTCAGCACGAAGGCATGCCGTTGCTTTAGGAATCTCCTCACTCAGTTTGAGGAGGATTCTGCATAAGGATTTGGATTTCAATCCTACAAAATGATGATGGCCCAACAATTGAACGAAGCAGACTTTGCCAGCCGCCGAAATCTGTGTGAGAACATGCTTGAACAGATTGCTCCCGACGCACCGTTCTTCAGCAGTGATGAGGCGCATTTTCACCTCTGTGGGACTGTAAATAAGCAAAATTTTCGTAACTGGGCTGCAGATAACCCATAAATTATCCATCAAAGACCACTACAGTCTCCAAAACTAACGGTCTGGTGTGCCATCTCACAATTTGGTGTGATAGGCCCATACTTCCTTGAGGTGGAGGAAGTAACCGTGACAGTAAATTCCGAACGCTATGCTGCAATGTTGCAAAATTTCTTGCAGCCCAGGTTGGAAAACATTGTTGAAAATTAAGCATTGGGGACGTGTGGTTCCAGCAGGATGGGGGGGGGGGCTACAGCTCACGCAGCCCAAATGTCACTCAATGTTTTGCGACGCATGTTTTCCGGACGTCTGGTGTCTCTGAAGGGGTGATTTACAGTTACCTGCGAGGTCACCTGATTTGAGCATATGCGATTTCTTTCTTTGGGGACATCTAAAAGAGAGGATGTTCAGAAGTCACCCTCACACCCTACCACAGCTAAGGGAACGGATTACTGCAGAGGTTATGGCCATACCTCGCCACATGTGTGAACGTGCTGTAGGAAACTTCCGGGAACGACTCCAACAGTGTGTTGCAGCTAACGGCCACCATCTCCCTGATATTGTTTACAAAACAAATGTATTCTAAATGGTATGTTATGCTTACCTCGAAGAAAATAAACTTTCTTTTTTATGTACCTCCATTACTCTTTTATTTTGCCTCAAACTGCTCAATCGGTTCTGCCCTACCCTGTACAATAGCGCTGGCATTTGAGTCTCACAGATCGCACTTTAATCCAAAGAAATTGATGAGAACTTGACCAAGTAGCGACGAAGTCCGCTTTCTGACCATAATGGTGCTAAGAGTGTGCCACTATTTATACAATATGACCCTTAATTTTTTAATGAATAATTATGGTGAACTGAAACGCAATGAGTTTTAACTCAAATGTGTGACAAACAAAGTGTTTTGCA